CCATTCAATAGCGACAACCGTTACTATCTATTTAGAGTTATCAATAGGACTGGTATATACACACACTCACTAACATTGTTGTCTAATCGCACCGTTATGTTAGGTTACACTGTGTTGTATATGTTGTATAGACAGAACACAGAGAGAGGAAAGGCCTAAAAGCTATTTTCTAATCGCATCTCTCTTTTCAATTCAATGACTGTGCGCTGTTTGAACATCAATAGGATGTGCACATACATGCAATGTATGGATTTATGTGTGTATGTGTATGTGTATGTGTATGTGTATGTGTATGTGTATGTGTATGTGTATGTGTATGTGTATGTGTATGTGTATGTGTATGTGTATGTGTATGTGTATGTGTATGTGTATGTGTATGTGTATGTGTATGTGTATGTGTATGTGTATGTGTATGTGTATGTGTATGTGTATGTGTATGTGTATGTGTATGTGTATGTGTATGTGTATGTGTATGTGTATGTGTATGTGTATGTGTATGTGTATGTGTATGTGTATGTGTATGTGTATGTGTATGTGTATGTGTATGTGTATGTGTATGTGTATGTGTATGTGTATGTGTATGTGTATGTGTATGTGTATGTGTATGTGTATGTGTATGTGTATGTGTATGTGTATGTGTATGTGTATGTGTATGTGTATGTGTATGTGTATGTGTATGTGTATGTGTATGTGTATGTGTATGTGTATGTGTATGTGTATGTGTATGTGTATGTGTATGTGTATGTGTATGTGTATGTGTATGTGTATGTGTATGTGTATGTGTATGTGTATGTGTATGTGTATGTGTATGTGTATGTGTATGTGTATGTGTATGTGTATGTGTATGTGTATGTGTATGTATACTATGAATAAATAAAACACGACACACACACACATTGTTGTAAACACACACACACACACACACACACACACACACACACACACACACACACACACACACACACACACACACACACACACACACACACACACACACAGTATTTGTATCATTGAATAAACAAAATTAAATAAAACTAAAAAAATGTTAGCCATTAATTAACATACAGACAACTCTAGTTAATTATACTAATTAACCAATAGATTAGATATACTAACAAACAATTGCTAAACTAAAACATATACTATAATTAAAAAAATAATAAAATAAAATAAATCCACAAACACTTTACAATTAGATACTATTTTTTTGTATACAATACTACTAACAAAATAAATACTCATAATTAATTTATTTAATATAGTTTATATATATATATATAGTTATACTAATTGATTAATTATTTAAAAGTTATTTAGCAATAATTAATTTTGTTTTTTTTATTTTATTGCCAATAAAAATAATGAAAAATTTGATTTTATATATAGATATCTTGTTAATAGTTTTGAACTCTCTCTCTCTCTCTCTCTCTCTCTCTCTCTCTCTCTCTCTCTCTCTCTCTATCTATCTATCTATCTATCTATCTATCTATCTATCTATCTATCTATCTATCTATCTATCTCTGTCTATCTATTTATAATTAACACAATTATTATAAAAACATTTATAGCAACAACAACAATAAAATAGATGGGTTGGATATAAAAACATAAATTATACTTTATTTTTAGGCAAAAAAAACTTATGTTTATATCAAATATCAAACAAATAATATATATATATATATATATATATATATATATATATATATATATATATATTGTTGTCATTATTCTGTAGCCTAAAGGTTAGGTTTTTATACATTTGTTAGTCTATATATATATATATATATATATATATATACTCTCTAATAACCAGTAAAATAATAATAATTATTATTATTATTATTATTATTATTAAATCATATATACGTATATGAGATTTTATATATTAGTTTAATATCTATGATTATGTATAGTTAATATTATATAAATAACTAATATATTATATTATATATTAGTTTAATATAAATATAATTACGAAATAGACAGCAAATATTAAATATATCTATTTTTAAACTTGAAAATAAAAAAAATAAAATAAATATAATTATAAAATCATTTTATAAATATTAATATTAATATACTGTATGTTTGAAATCATAAATTATGTAATATATATTAGATTGGTAGAAAAGAAATTAGCCTCGGTAGCTTAAGACAATTTTATTCAAATTTTTTTCAAATATTATTTAAATATAGTCTCCGTTAGCCCTTATGACACGTTTCATACGGTCGACCCACTTCTCATAGACCCCGCGCCAGTCGGCTGGACTTAGGTCTCCCAAAAATGACTCAATAGCGATGTCAATCTCAATTTCGCTATTAAATACCGTTCCTCTCAGGTGTTTCTTGAGGTTTTTGAAAAGCCAAAAATCAGCCGGAGCCAGATCAGGACTGTACGGTGGGTGTGCCAGAAGTCGAATACCATTGTCTTTGAGATACTTGGTTGTTACCAATGCTTTGTGAGGACGGGCATTATCGTGATGCAAAAAAATACCAGTTAGTCCCGACTTCGGGCGGTCCTCACAAACAGATTCAAAGACTTGAGGCAAACATTTCTTCACATACCAGTCGGCGGTAACCTTCTCTCCCTTTCCTAACTTAACGATTTTCACAATACCGGTTGAGCGAAAAAAAATGGCGTACATTATCTTTTTTACATGCACTTCACGTTTGGCTAACTTCGGGATCTCTTCATCTTCTATGACCCATAACTTTGCTTCTTTACTGTTTAAATTGTCATAAAAGTACACATATGTTTCATCACCAGTCACTAATCGATAAATAAAGTGATCTCCGCCATCCGAAAATATCTTTAGGTTTTCCCGGCAGATCTTAACACGAGTGGCCATTTGGTCGGCTGACAGCACGTGGGGTACCCATTTGACACAAACATGTCTTGCATTAAGATAATTGTGTAGAATATGATGGACTCTCTCGGTTGAAATATTCAATGTATATGCCATCTGTATTAGTGTCATTCGTGGATCTACTTGAAGTAGTTCCCGAATTCTGGCCACATTTTCATCGGTGGTCACTTCCCGAGGTCGACCTGACTTCGGCATGTCCTCAAGTGATGTACGACCAAATTTGAACTCTCGATACCAATGCGTTACTGTAGAGTAAATAACAGTATTTGATCCCAATGTGTCATTAATTTCATCTGTCGCCTCCTGTGCCGTCAGCGCGCGCCGATAACAATAGGCAATTATTGCCCGAAAATCACGAGAAGCAAAATTTATGGTTTTCTCAGACATTGAACACTTTAAGAAGTCACCAAAACTGAACCAAATGAGCAAATGTTGTGAAAATTTGTATTTATGACTAAAAATAAGTGTACTTTTGTTTAATAATAAAAGTTTTGTCATAATTTACAGTTTTGATGCTTATACTAATTATATACCTACTGTCCTAATATATGATATTATTTTTATTGTTGAATAATTTTTAAAAACTGAATCTAATTAATTATAACATTAATTTCTAATTTTACTGTATTTTTGTATATCATTATTTTTACAATTTTTTAATTAAAAAAAATTATATACACATAAAAATTAGACATAAAAATAACTAAATATTTATTTTTTAAAGTTTATTATTTATATTATTATAATTTTATCAAATAATATTCATATATATATTATTAATATTAACTAAAAATAAGAAAATATAAAACTGAATATTATTTCTACTAATAATAATATTTTTAATTATTATGAATTTTAATAAATTTTGTCCAAATTTTAATTATGAATATATTAATAATTAATAAAATAAATTATTTTCAATACTATAATTACTAATTATTATATAATAGCTAACCTACTAAAACAAAATCATTGATATATAATATAATAAAATACTGATAATAATTAAATTTAGTGTTATTTTTAAATAAATAATAATTAAATTAAAAATTAAAAACTAATTAAATAACTACTTAACTAAATTGCTTAATAAATTTTTGATTGACGACAACAACTTAACAAATAACTATTGCGATCAATGGTTTCCAATCTAACCAGTCGTTGATAGTTAAGTGCGAGGACTACCAGTCCATTTCTGGCCAATTCAATCACTAGTACGGCACTGGTATCCAAATCAAACTGATCCCGGTCCCAAAATTTCATGGATCCCAACGATTCAGTCAAGAGAAACCATAGATGGATAAAATTTATTAGACCTATAAAAACGGCATAAACTGTATGGCCATCCAATAGTCGGGCCATATCGGGTACATAGAGTACCCGTCGATGGCGGTAATCACGGGCCGGTTTGATATCATCAGTTGTACGCATCAGTAGATATGATTCCACAATACCGACCCCCAGGGCTGTTAGCTGTATACGCGATGGCCATACACTGTCCGTTGTGGTAGGTATGGCCAGTATGCCGTTGAGGACGGGCATCAAAAATATCAATGCAAAATGCAAACGAAACAATAGAGCCAATCGACTAACTGATACATAACTGTCCACTTGTTTCGGGTCAGCAAATTCATAGTCAGTTTCAGTGGCGGTGGTGGTATCGGTCGGGTCAGTGATGTTGGTTTGTTGGTCACTATTGTTGGTGTGGTTTAAGCTAACGATGCTATCATTATTGATAGACATTATTATTATTATTATTATTATTATTATATGATAAAAAAAACAAACAAATTTCAACAGTAATAGTATAAACAGTTTTATTTTATAAATATATTAATTAATTAATTAATATATTTATAAAAATTTAATTAATTTTTTAAAATTAATTGCGCGCGCGTGATTAATAATTTTTTTTAAAAAAATCATTTATACATCAAATATACACGCGTTTTCACACGTGCAATATGTTATTGTTATTATTATTTTGTTTTTATTATAAAAAAATTAATATATAGAAAAATATAACCAAAAAAAAATTTATATATAATTATTAAACAAACAATGATTTTTTTTTTTGAAACAAATTGATGGCTAAAAGTGATGATAGATAGGATAGACAGTATAGAGGGGTCGGGTATGTGTGTGTGTGTTGTCTATTATTTAGTGTTAATGTATTTTTTGATAGCCATCTCTCTTAGCCGAAACTTTTGTACTTTTCCGGTGACAGTACGGGGAAAGTCGTCTACAAATTCAATGGTCTGCGGTATCTTAAAGTGTGTAATCTATTGGTTTGTTTTTATGATGAAATAAACCAAAGATTACAATCAAATAACAAAATCGTTATTTTTTTAAATAAAAACATACCTTTCCTTTACAGTACTCTTTAACACTGTTAGAGTCTAATAATGAACAGTTATGTTTCAATTTTATATAAGCGACCATATCTTCGCCATATCTTTCATGAGGTATACCAACAACCTATTCAATCAAATCAATATATTATCGGTAATAATATGTTGTAAAACATGTATATATATATATATATATGTGTGTGTGTGTATATGTATGTATGGATGTGTGTGTATATGTATGTGTGTATACAGTATATAAATACAGTATATTTGTGTGTATGTGTATGTGTATGTGTATGTGTATGTGTATGTGTATGTGTATGTGTATGTGTATGTGTATGTGTATGTGTATGTGTATGTGTATGTGTATGTGTATGTGTATGTGTATGTGTATGTGTATGTGTATGTGTATGTGTATGTGTATGTGTATGTGTATGTGTATGTGTATGTGTATGTGTATGTGTATGTGTATGTGTATGTGTATGTGTGTATGTGTGTGTGTGTCTATGTATGTGTGTGTGTGTATGTGTGTGTGTATGTATGTGTGTGTGTGTGTATGTGTGTGTGTGTGTGTATGTATGTATGTGTGAGTATATGTCGTGTGTCATATCATCTAACATACATGTGCGTCGTCTATTGACTGGTTGGTCATCAGAAAATCTTCAATCTCTTTGGGATAAATGTTTTCGCCGCCTCTAATAATCATGTCTTTGATGCGTCCATTGATAAACAGGTAGCCCTTGTCGTCCATATAACCGATATCCCTATATAAACATATTGTAAGCACAATTAGATCCCATTAAAGGACAGGGAGTTTTTTTTGTTGTCAATACCCCATATGATACCATCGATTCCTGTCGATAACTTCGGCAGTTTTGTCCGGTTGTGACCAATAGCCGGGGAACGTACAGTGACCGCGCACACATATTTCCCCGTTGACACCAATTGGCTGCAGGGCACCGGTAGCCGTATCGATAATTTTGATTTCCAAATGATCGATTGGTCGGCCAACTGATTCTAGCCGATGTTTCGGCGAATCATTGATATGTGTATGACTAATGACTGGACTGGTTTCGGTAGTGCCGTACGGTATCTATTATGAACCGGGATAGGGTGGGTGGGGTAGTAGTAGTAATTGGGAGGTTAATTGACTGGTTTTTTTTGTGGTTTTGTTTTGTTTTAATGGTCGACTAACCAGTATCTGACAGCCGGGTATTGTTTTCATAACTTTACTGACCAGTGCCGGTGGACAGGGAGCACCCGACATGATTGCTAATACCAAAAATAAAGTATATATATATATATATATAGATAAATAGATAGGTTATACCTATTTTTAGTGAACTGGTATCGTATTTATGTGGCTCCGAGTTTAGTATATCGATATACATTGTAGGCGTACCATAGACTACTTGGCACCTGTATGTCCACAACAATATATGTATAGTTAATTGGTTTAGTAGCTAACTATACGGTACAACAACAACAACAAAAAACAATTATATATATACTTATAATTTTCAATGGCCTCCAATGTTTTCTGTGGATTAACTACCGGTGCCGGCATGATCACCGATGCCCGTTGTTGGGCGCATAGTATGGATCCGGTTACCGATCCGAAACAATGATACAGCGGATTGGGTATACATATGTTTAGATTGGATCGGTTAATGTCCTGTAGTCCCGATAGTAGCCGTTTGCTGGTAAAGTAGCAATTTTCTAGTATATTATAATGGGTTAGTGTAGCACCTTTCGGATGGCCGGTAGTACCCGACGTAAACTGTATGTTAATCGGATCGTCAAACTGTATGCCAGCCCCCGGATCGTCGTCGACTGAGTCCAGTTTGAGGCTACTGTTGTCGGCAATGGTAACGGCATCGGCCAGCAAATCATCGAAACGGGTAACACTGGCCGGTGCTATCTCCGGCTCGTTGCCCGGACTGTTGATTACTATTATGTTTTTCAAACTGGGAATCCTATTTTAAACCGGGAATAGGGAGGGGAACGGTATGTAAAAAAAAAGAGTTGAAAAGTTTATATCTATTTGTATATATATTTATAAGTTGTTTAAATTTATTTAAATATTTATGTATAATATATTACTATTATATAATACCTAAAATACAGATTATCTAAAAAATTAATAATAATAATAATAATCTAAAAATAAAATTAATTTATAATAAGTTTATAAAAAAAATTATACATAATATTAATATATTGTATATTAATTTATTAACTATAATATGATTATTACTGTTAGTAAAAAAAATTATTTGTCATTTACATGTCAAAAACTATTAGATATATTAAACATATAAATAAATTATGTTTTATTTTAAGTTTAAAACAAATTTTTTGTTTGTTTGACATAACATTAACAATCAATTAGACTTATATTAATAGTTAACTTATAGTTAGTTAACTCATAGTGAACTCATGTTAGATATATATTTAATATATATATATATATATATTGAATATATAAACAATGATAACAACTAAAACACATGTTTTATTATAAATTAAAAGTACTTAAAATCATATAATTAAATAAAATGGACTAATATTGGACTTTAAAAAATTAATGTTTTTTTAAAAAATAAATAAATAAAAATATTTTTAAAAAAATCTATACAAACTTTTTGCATTCAATAGGACGGCCACTACTACTACTACTACTATGTAATAATAGTTGGCTGGATATGCTGTCCAATATTTCGCAATAGTTGGTCGTACGAAACTTTTGATACGTAATCAATGTATGACAACCGACCAGATTCAGGGCATATAATAGTTCATTGGATTTGTAGCCCGGATTAACCGATACCTACAGGTGCTCAAACACATACACACACATAGTAAGCACATATAGATATATAATAATTAAATATATATATACCATAATGGCACCGATTTTGGCAGTGGCATACTGGGTGACCAACCATTCATAGCAATTGGGCGCCCATATGCCCACCCGATCACCTTTTTTGCAGCCTAACTTTTTCAGGCCTATACCCAGTTTATTGGCCTATTATTATAGTATAAAAAATAATACATATATATATATGAAAAATGAACATGCTAAATTATTATTATTACATCAGCATTAAGTTGTCCATAAGTTTTCCGTATATTTTGTTGAACAGATACTACGGCCAACTTGTCCCCGGAATCGCGGGCACAGTTGCCAATCAATTGGCCAATTGTTTGGCCCGAATACCTGTCCACTGATGGTTCAAATGTGTAGCTATAGCTGGTCTTATATGACTTATATCTATGGCCACCACTACCACCACTACCAACACTACCAGTGATACCCGGATGACAATACCATCGGACGAGATATTGTTGTTGTTTTGATAGATTTATAACATTTTTGGGTAAACTTTTAATTGACGAAAACATTTGTTGTTTTTTTTATTAAAAAAAAGTAATTATTTATTTATAATACTGTATTTTTAAGTATATTTAGTAGTATTGTTTAGCGCACAGGTATGTCTATGTATGTATGGATGTCTATGTCTATAACACTAATACAACAGGTATTGTTTACCCCACCAACAAAAAAAAAACTTACAATAGGTATAAATAATAAAACAACTTAATTATATAAAAGTTTATATATATATATAACTGTTTATATAGTTGTATGGGTAGATCACACTAACCAACAAAAAAAAAACTGGTTATATAGTTATAAACATACAGTGGTTAGTCTCAAATATATACATAATATATATATATATATGTCTAATAATGTATACAACCTTGGGGTAGGTTTATTATACTGTAAACTTATATATACATATATAAATCATAACATACAGTCAAACTACCGTATATTATTATATTTGATAATTATTGTAAAAATATTAAGTTTTTTACACAATTTGTAAAATAATTATCAATAATAAACTGGTATTTTATATATATATATATATATAAATTAATATTCAATAATATTGATAAATAAATGTTTAATGATAACCATAACTAACTAAATATAAAATATATAAAAGTTATTATATTAAGTATACTTATGTAATAATTATTTCCAAATTATAAACTATTACTACTACTACTACTACTACTACAGTAATCTAATGTTTTTCAATATATTTATAAACAAAATACCAAAAAAAAATATGATATAAAAGTTTAAAACAAAATATTTATTAATATTTTTCAAAAAAAAAACAAATTAAATATTCTCATTAAACATATAATTAATTAATTAATTAAACTGATAGTCCATTCACACCTAAATAGTCCCACAATTGTTGGCCGCAATCGTAGGTCAACTGTTTCTGGCGATTCAACGATTTGATAGCACTGTCCATAACATCCGTATCGGTTGTTTCCAACAGTTCCGATAGATCCCATTCCCTGTTGGGTAAGTCCTTATCGATTAATTGACTGGCTAATTTCCTAACTTGTGGATGATAATGTTTTTGCAATGTTTTCAATTCCCATAGACAACTACCGGAAGCACCAGTAGCTTCGGGATCGTCGATACTATTGTCAAACGGATCGTTGATTACTACCGAGGATTCGGTAGTTGTTAAACCAATATTAGCCGTTAGCATAGCCGCTACTGATGGATGTCTGACCAATAGATTGCCAATCATTGGCAACAGTATTAGCTGGGAGTCGGCTGTAGCGGCGGTCAATGCTATACGCGATAAACGTTTGACAAACGAGGCTACAGTTTGAGCCGATATATGGCTTGAGGTCAGGAATATGTCTAACCAGAACAGGAATCGGGGTCTGTATTTGACATGCAGTACACCAGCAGTTAGGAGGGCGTAGAGTTGGGGGTAAAATTGGGGATATTCTAAGTTACACTTTTGGATCAATATGTATAGCGAGGACAGGGATAACAGGGAAACAATACCACCAATTGAATAGCTATCCACAAGAAAGTCGGTCAACAGTAATGGATTACGAAAATGTTGGATCAATTGTTTATCTAATAGTAGTAATACTTTTTTATAGATATCTTTCGGTAGCCGTAGTCGACCGCCGCCGAGAAACAGTGTCCATACACTGGCAAACAGATCGGCGTCCCGTTCGTAATCAATGCGAAAACATCGTTGATTCGGTTGTGTTGGTATACATAGTATGATATTATCGGACCGATTGTCGGCCAACTTGTTTGGCTTTAGTCGACGTGTCTTTTCAGCCGTTGCTTTCAATTGATGGCTACGCGTCCGCAACTCGGCCGGCGTTTTCAACTGTATGGCCGCTAATAGTTCGTAAACATTGCGTACAAAGATATCGTCGCCGCTGTTGTTGTTGTCGTCGTCATCGATGGTATTGTCAGTGATATTATTATCACTATTATTATAATCGCCGACTATTTCTTCGCACGCTTTCAGGGTTTGATAGACACAGTCGTCAAACTGTAGATAATTTTGACAATAGTTACGAATCAGATCGCGATTATCGGTCAATTTGGACAACAATTGCCGAAATATTTTACGGAACAATGGTGTCGGAAACGATAGATCTTCGGTAACCACTTCCGTACGAAACGGATATTTACCTAAAAAAATAATGAAATAAAAGTAAATAAATGAAAATATGTGTCCAATTGAGTTACCGATCGGTGGTTACCGAACCACCACTTCTTCTACTACTAAACAAACCTTCTTCGGCCACACATTTCATCAGCGAATTAAAGGCCAACTTTTGTGTTGATTTTGTATAGCTATTGTTGCCGACAAATCGGATAAGCAAATCATTGGTCTGATCGTAGACAGTGGCCAACCATTTGCGATACTTGACATTGGCTTCGGTATCGGCGTCGGCGGCCACCACTCGTAGCTCTTTCTGGTGAATAAATCGGATGAATATCTTGTTTACCGATCGGATCAATGTCTCGATTGTCAACTGCGAGCATCGTTTGACACTATCATCGGCTGCGGCGGCGGTGGCCGCGACGGCTGTGTCATCAATGTCCAAGTCATCGGTAATAGTGGCCAACAGGTCGACAATGTTGTTGACATTTGTCCGCGACTCGATCACCAATTGTGTTCGGCGTTTAATGTCCTCAATCTGTTTCATTGCCGTCAAATCCATGGCCAGAGCAGCGGCGGGTGTTTTTTAATGGTCACCGAAACGGACAAATCAATCGGTAATTATTGAAAGCATTTATTAAACAAAAAAAAATTTTTATTTTTAAAAAACAATAACAAAAACACGTTTTGTTAGTAATATTAAGTTAGGTATTCATTACACAACAAACGTTACTATTTTATGTGTGTGTGTGTGTGTGTGTGTGTGTGTGGGAGGGGTTAGTCAGTAATAGAGATGATATTCAGAATTAAACTGTATATAGTGTTTACTAAAAAGGGGGGCTATTTGTTTTGTCCCCCAAAAATAACATTAATTAAATAGTTGTACGTTGTCTATGTATTGGCATATTTTTCTATACTGTAGTAAATACTGTACACTATTGCACACTGTGTCATACTGTAAGCATACATTTAGTGGATAGGCCATTCTAAATAATAATAATAATAACATTTATGTTATTAGAACACATGTACTGTATTAATAATATACAACTATATAGTATTGAGACGCGCGCCTATCATGTATGTTTGACTGCATAACATTTTCAAATAAAATAAACTTTTACTGTCTAATGATGAACTGAAAGCATGATTTCTATGTATACATTCAACAACATAAAACATGTGCACAATGTTTATGCAATGCATAACACTATTGAAATTATAACTATATTTTAGTTATTATTTAATTAATATTAGTATTAATACAATAAAATAGTTATTAATTAAATTAAATTAATTAATAATTTTAACTAAATATCTATTAAACAGTGATTTAAATACAATTAAAATAATAATAATAATAATAATGAAGTAATTAATTACTCGCCGAAAGTCTGGTCATCGGCCGCCCGTCCGATCGCCCAATATGTTTGCCGCAAACATTGGCCAACTATATGCCGGCGCCGCCGCCGGTAGTTGTGGTAGTGGTCATCAATATCGCCGATTGTTGTTGTTATGGTCGTCATCGTCGATGTCCCGCATGAATACCGTCGCCGCCGCCGTCGCCGTCGGTAGTGGTGTTGGCCAACAACAACAACACCGACACTGTTGTCGTCAAGAACTTGACGACTATTTGCGGTCAGACTTTGGCCGCAAACATCCGCAACAACGGTGCGAACAATTTTGGTCACAGTATTGGCAAAAGACGGGTCTTTTCGGTGATACTGATCGACAACATCGTCGCCGCCGCCGCAGCCAAAAAACTGGTCAAACCATTGGCGGCGGCGACTGTTTTAAGCTACTGTTGCCGCCGCCAAACATTACCGGATCATTACATTTGGGTATTTGTTATTAGTTACCCGTAAAATAAATAAGACATTTACGGCAATATTTTATTTATCGGCAGTATATTTGTCTACTTATAGGTCACGCCTTGACAGTGGCCATTGAGGACGCCCTATGCCGTTATCATCGTATGACTGGCCACACAGTTCAATGGATACCTGGGTTAGATCATGCAGGTATTGCTACACAAATAATGGTCGAAAAACATTTGTGGACAAAATACGGGAAAACTAGACACGACCTAACACGCGACCAGTTTCTCGGCGAAGTTGACCAATGGAAAACTCAACGGTCGGCCGAAATCCGTGAACAACTGTTACGATTGGGTGCCAGTCTTGACTATACCCAGGAGTACTATACATTGTCGCCCGAGATGTCCGCAGCCGTTACCGAAGCATTTGTCCAGCTATTCAATCGCCAGCAGATCTATCGGAGTACAAAAGCGGTAAACTGGTCGTACTATATGCGATCGACACTATCGGATATTGAGGTCGACGTCAAACATATTGACGGTCCAACTGAGCTAACGGTTCCCGGTTATCATAAGCCAGTTGTGTTGGGTGTTATGCATCGGTTTAACTATCCGTTAGAAGATAACAGCAATGATGTTATACCAGTGGCCACAACACGTCTCGAGACAGTTATCGGCGATGTAGCCATTGCTGTACATCCCGATGATAAACGATACTCGCATATGATTGGCCGTATGGTTATCAATCCGATTAGTGGTCGCCGTATGCCCATAGTTGCCGACCAGTCAGTAGTCCAAACGTTCGGTACGGGAGCCGTAAAGATAACGCCGGGTCATTCACGTTTCGATCACGAACTAGCCGAACGACATAGACTACCTGTTCTGCTTGTATTCGATCAGACGGGTAGACTAGACTGTCCCGAATTACCCGAATTTCATGGTCTACACCGATTTTCAGCCAAAGATGCCATCAAATCGGCTCTCATAGCCAAAGGTCTATACCTGGATCAGTCCGATCACTCGCATAGTGTACCCGTATGTCCCAAAACTGGTGATCTGATTGAGCATCGGTGTGTACCGCAATGGTTTTTACGCTGCCAACAGTCTACCGTCGACAGGGCTCGGCTAGCAATTGTCGAGGACGACCTAAATCCATCCGTACACTGTTGTCCAACTGTACCATATCTTGATCCCGACAAACATCTGAGTCTAGTTCCGCCTAACTATCGATTTGTTTGGCGCGAATGGTTTAACCGTCTGGAAGATTGGTGTATATCCCGTCAGATCTATTGGGGACATCAAATACCGGCCTATAATGTCATTATTGATGGCCAGCTAACCGATGAATGGATTGCCGCTAAAAGGTATGTATGGTTTTTTTTGTTGAGTTATTGATACAAATGTTTAATTAAATAATTTTAATTTATTTTAATCAGTTATTCAGAAGCCCTGCTCATAGCTGAACACAGACATCCCGATCACACTATAATAACCGTACGACAAGACCCGGACGTATTGGACACATGGTTTTCATCATCGCTATTACCGCTCAGTGTTAACGGTTGGCCAACGGCAACGGTAAACGGCAAACAACAGTTGGACACCCAGTCGTCACCGTTAAGTCTAATGGAAACCGGTTACGACATACTATTCTTTTGGGTCGCCCGTATGGTTCAGCTGTCCCTTGAATTGACCGATCGATTACCGTTCAATCGGGTACTTCTGCACGCTATGGTCGGCGATTCTGATGGGAAAAAAATGTCCAAATCCTGGGGCAATGTTATCGATCCGATCGATATTATTGACGGTATTTCGCTGAAAGAGTTGATCCGTAAGAACGAAAAGATTCGGGAATCGGGTTTTACTACCACTACTACTACCGATACTACTACTACTACTTTGGCTAAGTCTGGCCAACACACCAAACACAAGTTGGCCAAACAGTTTCCGTCGGGTATTGTTTCGTGCGGTGCCGACGCACTGCGTTGGCATTTGTTGCGTACAAATTACAAATCGGAAAACGTTTCGTTCGACCTGAAAAAAGTGGTCAAATCCAGAAACTTTACCAATAAAATGCATCAAACGGTTCGGTTTTTATTCAACAATCTGGACAACCGTTTTGTCCGTTTGGATATTCTTGATGTAAGTTTCATAACCAATCACTCAATTATTATTATTTTCCGATTTTTTTCTTCTATCGGTAACAACACTGTTAATAGCTTACTGACCACTTAAGTCCCGACGATCGTCAAATACTGTCACAATTGGCCGAAACCGTTAGGACAGCGAACCAGGCGTTCGAGTCGTACGATTTGCGCGAAGGTGTGGCCGCTTTGGAGCACTTCTGGCACAACAAACTGTGCGACATATATCTGGAGCGCGTGAAACACGTACTCAAAAATACCGACGACGACGACGATCTGAGGACACGTAATACTGTACTCAATGTTTTAGTCTATACGATCAACACTGGCCTCAGGGCGTTGCATCCGTTTATGCCGTTTATTACCGAAAATCTATGGCAACATATTAACCATAGACTGCTGACCATCACTACTGCTGCTGACGATAATAATCATAATCTTCGACAAGAATTTTCAAGTATTTGCGATGAAGACTATCCGGATATAACTGTTGATCCAGTTTTAAGACAATATCAGAGTGTAGTCAACGATCGTGATATGCATTTGGTTGGGGCTATCATCGAAAAAATTCGATGGTTTACGAAATATTTTGAAATTACCGATGATATACTATCGACAACACGGATATCAATTGCTACCTATGATAAACATCTCCAGAATTATCGTCAATTGATCCAATCGGCTATCGGTAATGATGTGGATTCAGTCGATATGGTATCCATTCATGATATTCATCGATATTATCGTAGTTTTTGTTTTAAAGTTTGTAGAAATGAAGTTATAGCCGATACAGACGGCGGCAACATTGATGGCAACAATGTCGACAACGATGTCGATGATGATGAAGATGACGATACAAATGAATACAATATACTAGACATCGATAAGAATAATAGGAATCACTTTAACGATTGTTATGTATTGTTTTCATTCAGCGATGAAGTGATGTCGAAATTGTCTAATGAATTGATAGCTGATGTCAGTGGTGTTGCTGTCGATGATGATGGCAATGGCAACGATGGTATAGAAGCTATTGATGGCCAGAAACGGAAGGAGATGTTTGATATGCCAACGCTTATACGTTTTGTTAATTTGCTGTTCAAACATAGGAACAGTAGGTTTCATCAAAACTATTGGAAAACCAAATCAATGAGAGAAAGTGATTGACTGTCGGATTATGAAAAAAAATTCAATTGTTTTTTGATATTCAATATATAATATATATATTTAAAATTGATATTTAAAAAAACATTAAAATTATCTGTAATACTGTAATATTTATTATACAAATATAATTAACTATTATTTGGTTATATATTAATCTCATGAAACAATTGATGATTTAAAACATGATTTTTTTTAATAAAAATAATAATAATATTTAATTATTAAACACATTGTATATTTTTAATGTATTCTTAAATTTTTATTTTAAATTTAAATGATTTAATTTATATATATATATATAATCATTAGATTATTACCGTAATAATAATAATAATAATAATAACCGATACTTACGATAAAATTTAAGGCAAATAAATGTTATCTATATTTATGTATTGATTATTAGTTATTCATAAATATATATAATATATTATAGTATATTATCTTATATTATCTTATATTATCTGATTATATATGTATTATATACAGTAATTGATGAAACTATTTGTATATCCAGTAGTCATACATTATTATTATTATTATATAAATTATGTTATATAAATACAGTATTATTATTTTTTACTCATCAATTAATCACTAATTTTTAGTCATTAAACATAATAATAATTATTTTATTTTTTTTAATTATAAATACAATTATAAAGATATATTACTAGAAATAATTCATCTAAAATATTTACTAATATATATATATATATATATATATATATATCATATATATATAATTAATTAAAAAAAAAAATAATATTTATTTTTAGTTATTAATTTATCGATTGATTTATTTAGTGAATTTTTTTGTGGAAATAATTAATATTGTTTTAATTTTTTTTGTTTTTTGATAAAATTTTTTATTAACTAAAAAAAGTATACAAAAAATCATACATTATTTTTGTTGTTTCAAATAATTATCAATAAAATAAAATATATTTATTATCAATTGGTTTAATTAAAAACTAACTAATTGTTATGTTAGTGGCCTCGGAGTTGATAAAAGCCGAAAACATTTTCAGGGCTGCCCCTGACCTATCGGTCGGTACCATATGGCCAGAGCCGCGTACCGTTACAAATGCTAGCCTATCGTAAACTTTATAATAGCCGGCAATTTGGTGGTTATAGTGCCAGATATTGTAGGACTGGGTTAACGATCGGCCCATATCTTCGACAAACCTATTGATATATAATAAAAAAAATTTAAAAAAAAAATTATTATATAATACCAATACATATACCATTCATCGCCCAAGAAATTGCAGGCCATATCAACGTCACCGTTATATACAAGTATTTTCAGTGATGGCCGCCCACTACTACTACTACTGGCCAACAGTTCCCGAAACTGCGGTTTCATTGACTTATAGATGTTTCGATAGCCAGTTTCGACGGCTAAACTACAACAAGTCCATCGGTCGCGTCGGTCATCGGGTATATGTAGACTATGGCGAACCAGTGGCTGATTGATCCACTCTTCTACATAACCAGTGTCAACACACGGTGGTGTATCCCTGAGCTGATCCCATAGCTGCTGCTGACTATTGCTGTTTGACGATGACCCGTTCAGCGGCTGCACCGTCACTGTCTTCAACATTAGTTTGCGGTCAAACATTTCACGTGAATATTTTGCCGATAGATTATAACGTCGGCGACCATCACTATTGCCGCCAACACCAGCACCTGTAGATTGCCGCTGTCCCTCACAATCTGCATACAGATTATAGATGTTAAGTCCCGGTTCCCGTATAAAACCGACCGCTTGGTTGACAGCCTGTCGGCAACCAGTGTCCGGATTGTTGACAAAATCGCACCGATTGTTGTTGTTGTTGTTGTTGGCAGTGGCGGCGGCGGCGGAGGCCATCAAAACTGCCGCCGCCTCAAGCGTTAGGCTAGAATTGGTCAAAGTATTTACCGATGATGGACAGCAATTGGCCAACAATTTTAGCCAAACACTGGTATCGTATAGGCCGTGATAGTAGCCAAAGTAGATCAACGAATTGCCTAATAAGGACTGTTCCAGATAGCCGTTACCGATGGCCAAACCTTTCAATGGGATTGCCTGATCGGGAAGTCCGCGTACAATCTCGACGGCCAGTGTCGGTACATAAACGCCGGCATAGCTTTCGCCGGTAACATAGAAATCGTTAGCCAGAAATTGGGGAAATTTTTTATAGAAACTTTTCAAGGCCTGGTAGTTAGCTTTGGCTACTGTATCGTCATCTGTTGCGTACTGGCCGTCCAATTTGTATGAGAAGCCGACACCGGCTGGCGACTCAAGAAACAGTATATTGGTCTCACGGTTCCAGCTGTACGGGTTGGCATACAATTGTCGACTATTGTTACGATTGACATGTATGGGTCCCTGTTCTGTATACATACATACATACACAAGAATATTATTAGATGGGGGGACAGTATGGTTATGGGGTGGGGTAGGGATGGTTACTACTACTAACCGGTCAGTGCTCCCAATACACTGGAACAGCCGGGACCGCCGTTCAGCCACAATACTAGCGGATCGGTAGCCGGACTACGTTGACTCTCGAAAAACCAATAGTGTAGATACCGGTCCTCTGTTGAGTTCAGATAACCCGAATAGTGCCGGTAATTGATGGGAAAGTCAAGACCGGGTAGATTGCGTACTTCGTCCGCTACACCCGGATAGCCGTGTGTCGGCCCGATAGACCCAACAGTTAATAGTATAGTTATTATACACAGCACCGGTATGTTGTTGTTGTTGTTGTCAATCATTATTATTATTATTAAAAAGTTATTAATTTAGTAAAAAATACTAAATTATAAAACGTATTGTTTATCTATAAATATTTTATTTATAAGTATTTTTATAATATGTGAAAAATTTAATGTTTAGTACTGTATATATCATATATATATATATAAAAACTTTAGTTTATCAGATATACTGTATATACAAAAAATGTTTATAAATTTTTTTTATCAAAATTTATTTATACTAATAATAATATAATAATTATTAATTTGATTCAATATAATTATAATAATCATGAATATACTGAATGTTTATAATATAAACTTTATAATTAAAATTTATGTATTGATTATTAGTTTTTCATATATAAAGTTTATATTATATATAAATATATTTATGAAAAACTAATAATCAATACATAAATATAGATAACATTTATTTGCCTTAAATTTTATCGTAAGTATCGGTTATTATTATTATTATTATTATTATTATTATTATTACGGTAATATATAGATCTATGAAACAATATTTTCGTAAAATTAAAAGTTTTAGAAAAACAATATTTTTTGAAAAAAAGATTTATTCAAAATAATACCGGAATTATTATTAGTATATCATATTTGTTTACCTGTTTTACATTTATATATATATATATATATATATATATATATATATATATATATAGAGAGAGAGAGAGAGAGAGAGAGAGAGAGAGAGATCATAAATTTAGGAAATATGTAGCAAATAGTGAAAATGATGGCTACATTTCCCACGATAATCACTATTACTACCTTAAAAAATATTTATATTAGAGATAGAGAGAGGACAGTAACCAAATGTCAAGGGCATACCTATGATATAAGATTAAGTGTATATATAATATAATATATTGAATATATCTCAGTCTCAAAAAAACAGGTATATCTTGTGTGAGCTTCAACACACACATACATACACACTCATACTCACTCATACACATACATACATACATACATACATACATACATACATACACACACATACATACACATACATACATACACATACATACATACACATACATACATACACACATACATACATACATACATACATACATACATACATACATACATACATACATACATACATACACACATACACACATACATACACACATACATACATAATGTAAAAATTGTATGAATGAATAACTAATTAACTGCCAATACATTTCAAAAAAAAATTATTTTATCTACCAGTGCTTGATATACTGTAAGTTATATGCAGTGTGTATGTAGACATTTGACTATTCAAGTATTTCAATAATTTTTGTTTTTTTTTGTTTTTTTTTGAATATGAAATATAATTTATTCATTGCATATATATTATTATTTTTATAGCA